ATTCTGGTCGTTTCTCGATCAATGCATAGATAGAGCATGATCACCATATGCCTCGACAAGCATTCGATGCGACTCTGCACCACTTTTCTTCAAATGAAAACAAAAAATTAATGCTTTCCGCAAATCATCACTTTCTGGTACAAAATTCGACATTTTTAACACGATGAAAAAATATAATGTCTGTTCAATGACTTGATGTATACTAAATATTTTTCACACATGTCATAGCAAACAAACAAAAAAAAAATAAAGGCTCGTTCACAACAAGATACATTTGTATCTTTACGCTCATTTCATACCGGTACACCTAGTATATTTCGTTGTTGTGTTACTCTTCTACTGAAATCCAATATTCTTACTATTCTACTCTCACTAGCAAATAATCAAATAAATTTCGAATAAAATGAATACTTGCGTCTATAAGTTAGTATATGCAAGTGTTGAAAAATTAGAATCGAATAAACGAAGATAATCAAGCGAATAAAAATTCAAGTGTAAATTAACCCATTAAGTACCAGGCAATTTCAGGCTTGAATTTTTACTGTGAAATTTAATAGTAAATAGTAAAATGAAATAAGTTTAAGTAAATGAGTAGAGTTTAATATTTATTTGAAAGATTACTCTCACTTTATCTTTACCTATAAAATATAAAATATTCTTTAAATATTAAAAACCACACGGTGGTCCGAAATGGGTTAACTTGTAAATTAAGCAGTTAATTGGCTCGTTGAGGAGTCATGAAAGGTTGTTGAAGATCACTAAATGAAATATTTTTATACTACTCGTATAATTTTCGGAGAAAAATGATCTATTACAATTTAAATTTAATATTAAATTTCTTATGAAAAAAATCTGTTAATATTTATATTCGCTTTAAAATTTAATTGAATTACATTCAATTAAATAAAACTACTTTATAAATAGAACTAAATTTTTTTTCCAGCGTAAATATGTTAATTTCAATGGGAGACCGAAATTGAATAGACAATCGAGCTAAATATGCTTAATTAATTAAACGAAAGTATAAAAATATACAAATATTTTTTGTGTAATATTTAGGCGACAATTATTAAGCTTTTGAAAAATATATTATTGTGTATATTTTTCAGAATTGAATTTGTAGTAAACTGAGTAATGAGTAAGCAACTAAAATCTTATCTATTTGAAAAATATTTTCTGGGACACAAATTAAAGACAAACAAAACTGATAAACAAAAATAACGAAAAATATATCAGTGTGACTTTAATAATTAGACTTAGACGATTTTTACATACTGAATGTGGAAACTGTAGGTTAAGAAATGAGAATTTGCGAAATTCTTACTGTGAAAAGTAATTCCTAGAATACTGAACCAAATTCTGAGTTATAAACGGGTTTATGACGTGAGTTTAGCAATTTTGAAATTTTTTTTGTTTACGAGAATTGCAAACAAAATTTTTGTGTTAATATAATTATTCTACAGTAACTAAATATATTTAGATTTATTTTTAAATAAATTTTACAAGATTTATTAATGAGAAGAACGAATACGAAGAAAAAGAAATACATAAAATTATAAAAAATCTTGTTTACATTGTTAATCAAAGATATATTAGACTGAATTTATTCACGGAGGAATAATAATATAATTTAGATAGACTACGATTAGTAAAAAAAGAGTTTCACAGATTATTTAGTTGCTTTGGAAAATAATTTAGAATTTTATTATTTTATAAGAAAAGATAGCTACTACGTCTACAGTCTCCTTTTCTTAATACTACTTTGAGCTTATATAGTATATAGCAAATATAGCCTGCTTTATAAAGAAAACATAATAATGTTTACCACATTTTGTTTTAAAAAGGTCTAAAAAAGTCTTAAAAAGGTCTAAATAACTGAATTCTCCATAATTATATATATAGATATATATAAAACTATAGATATATATATATATATATATATAGATATATAGATATATATAAAATCAATATAATAATAATTAATACAAATCACCACTTCTTAGTACGTAGCTCAATGTACATATTTATTTGGGACCCAACCAATATTGAGTATATACTAAAGAATTTATCACAATAAATAATCTCTTTGACTGTTAAAAACTTATTGAGTCTAAAATTTGATTTACTACTAATTAAATTATTGTTTTTACTTCATTAAGAATTCTTCATTACAGAAAATATTCACCATCGAAATGACTTCAAGAACTGCTAAGTACGTTTTTAAGGATAAGAATGTAGAGATAGATTAAGACTAGACACAAACTATTTTTTTAGAATCTTAAAATCATCTATTTTTTCTATATACTAACTACAAAGTAATAATTTCCATTAAACAATATTGAATATTGATTAATTGAATTGAATAATAGATTTGAAAGTCGTGGCTAAAATAAACTGAACTTGTTGTGAACTAATGAGAATATAAAAAATTGAAAATTCAGATCAATTTAGGGTTCAAGTTAGACCACAAAACACTACTTAAATGGTATATATATAAAAATATAAAATTTGTGATGTCAGATTTAGAAATTTAATGGCCAAATCGAACAGTTTCTATTGAAGATATAGAATATAGATATAGAAGATATTTAACACTGACCAATAACTGCAGTTGCAAAAAGTATATTTGATCCTTTTTAAAAACTGGAAGTACCGCTATTTATATCTAATAATTAAAAAAAATTATGTTTCTAAAAACATGCCTGCAATAAAAATATTTTTATATAAAAAATAAAAACAGAAAGGTTAATTCTAAGAAATTTTACAGTATGAAAATGAAACTTTACTGTGTCTTCACAAAGTCTGTCTGTTTGTAGATGTATGGATAATCAAAAGACAGACAAGAAGCAATGGATCAATGTTAAAATAGATTTTTAGATTCAAAAAACTTATGTTTAGGTAAAATAAAAACATAGATTCAAAAAAAGAAATTAATATATTCTTTTTTATGTATTTGAATCGAATGCGAATTAATAGAAAAAACAAAACTAACAAAAAATGGATTAGATTCACAACTTAAAGAATCGTTTATTTCGTAGCCTATACGCTAAATTAAAAATTCTATTAATTGAAATGAAAGTATTAAACCTATATATATATACGTATGCATAGTTATCAGTAAATCAATTATTATTTGATAGTATTGTTGCTTTCTATTTATTTTTTATATGCTTCTTCTAGGTCTCGTAACGTCATGATTTTGGTGATTTCAAACCTAAAATATTTCAACTTTTATTTAATGAATTTCAGTTGTTATTTCACAGCGAGATTTTTTTTCTGAAGAAATCATATTCCATTAAACGAAAAAAATATTTTAAAATTGTTAAGTTGGAAAATCTTCTCAGATCCTGTATAATACTTTTATATTCTATAAAAAAAAATTGTATAATTCATTTAGTCAATTACAAAGAATAGTCAATGACGAACTTTGCCGTTCGTTAAATTGAGTATTCATTATATTGAATTTTGTAGAGTAAAAGCAGGCTAACAATTCTCAATGGATTCAGCAATTATGATAAAAGAGTTATCAAATATTAAACAGATAACTCCAACATTGCAAAAATGGTTCTTTAATTGAACTCTCACGGACCAGATTTAGTCCGTGATTTAACCGCCCTCGCACTATATCGTTGAAATTTTATTAGGACAGCATAATTGATATCCGTTTGAAATCGGTATCAGAAGAAGGATATGGCGATGGATAGGGCATAATCTTCGTAAAGATAACTTAAACATTGCGAAAATGATCTTTTAATGGAACCCTCATCAATTACGAAGATTTAGCGGACCTCGCACTATATTATTAAAATCTTATTATGACCGCATACTATACGTTGGAAATCGACATCAGAAGAAGAAATGGCGATAGATAGGATATATTTTTCGTAAACATGACTCAACTATTCTAAAAATGTTAGCTAGAATTATGACCGCTGAAATCACGTTTCATTTTATACATAACATATATACAGGCTTATATACAGGCGATTGAAGTGTTACCTACTCTAGCGACCATATCCTTTTGGTATGAAATTATTTTTTATTGATTCAAATTTCAAAAATTTGTGTGGACGAACTGAACATGTCGAGCGTGGAACATGGAATATAGAAATGTGGAACATGGTTCACACGAGCTTTATAAGACAGTGCCGAGTATTGTATTCTTTATAATTATAATAATCAACTTTTAAAATTTCCCAGCTACAAATGATGTTTGTAGTGTTTAATTTTTAATATTCGATTTGTAAACAAAAAACATATGATTTACCCTTAATTTAGGACAGTGTGAACACTTTCGAAATTAACTTAATTTAATTTAAACGAAATTAAGGCTGTCTGAACATAGTGTTGTACTATGTCTTACTATAATCTTTCTCTATATAAAGTAATAACTTTTCTTGACATATAACAATATATAATGCATTGTGAGAAAATAGAAATAATTTCCTTTTAAAATGAAGGTTTAACCGACCTCTACAACCGTAATGACACTCTTTTTAAACTACACAAGAAATAAAGTAAATCCATTATTTCTCACTAATGGTAAATAATTGTAAATAAAAAAATGTAAATAAAAAATTGTAAATAAAAAATTATTACTATAAGTGATATCAGTGTTTTAAGTGATATCTTAAGAAAAGAAGAGAAAACAAAACAAAACAAAACAAGTGAACGAAGAAAGCAACAAACTAAGCTTTGTTGTCTTCCGGCTAGTAACAACAAAAAGTGCTGGAGGGCAGCAATGCAAAAATTACACAAAATATAAACGCAAAAAAAAAAACAATTACACTTTCAAAATAGAAAACAGGCAACAAAAAGCCGTAAGTGACAAAAAAAATCGCTTAATATTTTTTACAAGGAATTCAATATCGAATAAGAAACTAAATTTATGACAACAACTAATTCATAAATAAACATACAAGAAAATAAATTATGTAAAAAATTATTTAAGAAATAAATAAACTAAGAAAAACAAAAATATTACAAAAAATGTTGCTCACCTGAGCGTGTGCAATAATAAGTCGAATTGTTTGTTGATCGGTCGGTAAAAGCTTACAACTTTCGTGTGGGTTTGTGGATAGCACAAGACACAAGACACAAAACACAACAACAGCAACAGCAACACCAACTGTAACTGTAACTGTAATTGATGAGGGGAGCGAAGACGTAGCAGTGTATTTGTTACAATATTTATTGATGTTACTGCAATTGTTAGATGACGGCAAAAGTAGGTGTTGTCGTTTTTCTCCAAATATTTATAATTAAACTTCTATAATTTATCACTTTGAATTTTTTTACAATAATTATTTATTAACTTTTAATTTTGTTTTTTTTTTTAAATATCTATTTAAATAATTTGAATTGGAAATTTTAGTTAGGAAATGGAAATTGCGATGACACAGCGATGACGTTTCCCGTTTTTACAAGCCCGTTTTTTACGACTTTCTTCTTGTGTTAGAATATTGCACTTTGATTTTATAATACATGTATTATAAATATTTAAAATTACTTTTGAATATTTTCGTATTAATTTGTGTAATTTTTTCGTTAATTAAACCAAAATTTATTTACGTTTTACACGAAATTTTGCTTATAATTCTCCAATAGAAAACCTCCTCACACACCAAATGTCAATGAAAAAATAAAGTGAAATGCATAGTAATTTGAATTTTTTTTTCCTACTTCTTAATTATTTTCTTGTTATTGCTATTTCCTTCTCACTACTTCGAAGTTAATATAGTATTATTAATTTTGGAACTTTTTAATATTTAACTCACATTAGCCAAAAAGCAAATATATGTATTTTTTATGCGTATATAAAATAAAAAATATTAATGCAGTAAGCAGTAGGTTTATAAAATGAGTTGCACGAAAATGAACCTTTGGTAAATGAATGAATTTCGTTTGTCCTATTTGCTCATTTTTATTATATGGTTGCCATATCGCTTAAACAAAATTCAGTAACAGATGGCGTTAGGCAGTATTTCATAATAACATGAATAGTTATCATTCGCATTTAATGAATGAATTGCATCGTGCGAACATTTGATTAAACAAAATATTTCATTTGAAAATTTGAAAATTTTATTTTAAATGGTAAAACTGAGAAGTGTGTGTTATTATGTAGCGTACATAAGCATATTTCATATGCGTATATAAACATGCTGTTAAGTATTGTAACTTTATTGCTTGACGGTAGTATTTAGACTAGCGTGTGAAGACGCAAATTCAGCAAATACTCACGATTTACTATTGCGCGCTGTTCCTTCATAAGTATCTATGCAAAATTATCTATGTAATAAATAAGAGACTCAGTACAATTATCATGGACTGATTTAAGTTAATTCAAATTGCATCGCCAAAAAAAAAAATAATTTTTGACTTCGAATTAAGTCAGCAGTGTTTCGAATTCTCATTTCAGTTCTTGTAGGTTACATTCTTTACCCCTTTTCATGTTCATATTGTGTCTTTTTCGAGTTAGGGCATTTGGGCACTTTTACACTTTGATAGCTGGAGGGTTTCTGCAGAGTCACATCCTACTCACTGACTAATTTAAATATTCCTCAAAAGTTTTTAGTTAAAAGATGTCAATTAACATTTGTGTGATAAAGTGGAAAGATAAATTTCAGCTTTATAGAGTATAAAAATTAGTCAAAAGCGAAAATTTCCGTGGAATAAAAGTTAGACATTTTAAAAAGTTTTAAATCTGTAGAAAAACTTACTGACATTGGGAGAATTCCGGATTTAGCTCCAACTACAGTATGAATAATTTGTAATCGTGATAAGAACAAGATAAAGGTACTATGGAACAACTGTCACACATTTGCAGGTCAAACTAGTTACAAAAAATAGAAGTTCATTAATTGTAAAAATGTAGTCCCTTTTATCCATGTGAATAGAAAATCAGAATAAAATGGGAATGTTATTGAGTCAAATACTAATTCAGAATAATGAGCTCTGTCGATATTCAAAGAGTTAAAAGATAATTCTTTATCAACAAGTGGTAAAAAATCAGATTATTTTTGGAAATAAAATATGTGGAGAAATATGGTCCATTTGCGTTGTTTCGATTTACGTTCCATTTTGTTACATTTTTTTTGGAATTGTAAAAGTCTCTGAAAGCGCTAGTTCTACATGCAATATATATTTTTGATTCTTAACTTTTTCGTATTTTAACAGGAGTTAAGCATACGCAGTATATAAGTGCATAACGTATTTAAATTTAAATTTTCCGTTAACCGTTAAATTTAACCGTTATAAAAAACATATTTTGATCATTATAATGAGAGAAGAAGTACTAAAAAGCAATATAAATGTTATATAAATTAACTATATCATTTAAATAAATATAAATAAATCAAAAATGTGAATAATTAAACAAAACTTCTATTCACCATTTTATAAGCTGGGAAAATTTTACCACCTAAGCTCTTTTAACTATACATCTGACAAGTGAAAATTAAAATCTTAACTTTTAATATAATTAAATAAATTTAGTAAAATAACAGTATAAAAAATAATTATATATTAGTTTAGAAAAAAAAATTGATTATTAATTTTTAAACTTACTCGCATGGGATCCTTAGGTTTTTCGGCAATAATGATGTACTTTACTCAACTTTTACTAAAATTTGTATCTATATAATATTTAATTTAATAGAAAAAAGTTTTCATAAAAATATTTAAACTTTACTTAATTTTAATGAATATTATTGACGATTTTAAAACTTTTTTGAAAATTCCATGTAACTGAGATATTTTGGTGTACATAAATATTGGTATAAAAAAATAAACAGTCCTCAAACATTGCATTCTCTTTAATAGTGAACCACAGCATTCTTCATTTATACAGAGAATAGTTAAACAAATTATAGGAATTATTATTCATAATTATATAAACCAAAAAAGGCTCTACAGCTAAAACCTTTTGATATATAAAAGCTCTTTCTCGTGCCTTAAGTAACTTGTGCTTATGTTACTATGTGTAAACGACAAAAGCTCAAAGTTACTTAAGTAAGCAGTGAAAAAAAGGTACTATACTACGTTTACATTGTGAGATTAAGAGAACGCGAATAAGTTAATCTGCATTTTTAATTTACAAAGTTTAAATTATACATTAGAGATTAATTTTGACATTTCACTTGTTGTGTTTTGTTTTCTTTATTTAATCAATGTCTGTAAATAAAGTTTTTAATAAAAACTTTGTACAAAAAAAGTGAAATAAAAATTTAATAAATAGTTTTATAACAATAATTTAACAAATTTGAGCTATAATTATATACAAAACTATTACTAAACAATTGAAATAAAAACTTCACTCACTTCGGCAATTTTAAATTTTCAATATTGTTTTGAATAGATTTTGACATTTCCTTTCCAATTCTTCTAAGATCATAAAAAAATATACGATATTAAGACATTTGTAGAGTTGCATAGAAAAATAATCACCATTTATGTGATAATATATTCAGATAGCCAAAGTTCCTTAATTTCGTTTAAATGAAATTAAGTTAATTTCGAAAGTGTTCATACTGTCCCAAATTAAGGAAATCATATGTTTTTTGTTTACAAATCGTATGTTAAAAATTACATGCTACCAACATCATTTGTATCTGAGAAATTTTAAACATTGATTATTGTAATTATAAAGCATGACATTCAGTAGTTTTATTAGCTTTAGTGGATTTCAGATATGTCGATTAATATTTTTAACTCAATTTTAAATTTATAACAGTTACAATTCCTTTTTTGTATTCAAATTTAAAAATATTCACAACCTTCAAAATATTTCCCAGTTTTATTAAAATCAACTGTCATTGACATTTAAAAAAAATTCACTTTTACGTTATCTCTTGCTTAAAATTTATCTTACTCATAGTTGCATTTGAAATGTCACTTAATTTCAGCCTTCATTTCAACGAAATTAAGGTTATTTTCCTTAATATCATTCTAACCTTAAAACTGAATTTTGTATGGAAAAAACAATTTAATTTCGCTGAAACGAAGATGAAATTAATATTTTTGCGAAATTAAGTTGTGTGTGAACATAGTATAGGCAGATTAAAAATTAATATCGATTAAAAGGAGATTAACTTTTGTATGGGAAATCTGAGTTTAAACAACGAGATTAGTACTTTGATCTCGATTATTGCTTTAATGTACTCTCAATCTCACAATGTTAACGCCGTGTACCCAAGAAACGAGCGAATATCGCTGTGAAAACTATGGAAAATAGTATTTATGTTAATCAATGCAATAAAGAACTTATAACAATTCGAAATTTGCAATTGTCAATTTAATTAAATTAATGAAAAAATTATTGAAAATTTAAAATCAAAACCAGTGTAGTTTGGGTCATTTTCACATGTGTGCTACTACTTTTTTATGTAGTGAAAACATTTAACTCATCAACACTGAAATGAATTTTATTTTTTGTTTAACTGATAAGTGACATCTGATAAAAAAAAAGAATTGTTTATAGTTTGGGTATTGCAAAATGGAAAATTCTGATAAGGAAACGGCGGTATTTATTTAAACTAAATTGAATATATTTATTTAATACTTTTTCATTTTTATAGGATTGTTGGACAAAAGACGAAACAAATATGTTGATTAATGAATTTAAGAATCACGCCTGCCTAATTAATCCCAGTGATCCAAAATTCGCAAATAAAGCTGCCCGAACGGATGCTTACAATAAAATTATAAAGAAACTAAAAAGTATTAAACCAAATGTAAACGTAAAAAAAATAAAAAAGAAATTGAGCACATTACAAAATCAAATCTGTCATGAGAAAGTAATGGAAGCCAATTGCAAAAGGCGTGGCATAGAATATAAACCAAAATTGTGGTGTTACGATAAACTGGATTTTCTAAAAAACAATTCCCATATCAGACAAAGTTATTCGTCCTTACAGGATACGTCTGTAAGTTAATTAAATTCTTATTCCTATTATAATTCGTGACTAGCAGTACTATTTGTGCGTTGTATTCTGTAGGATCAGATCGATGTGCACTTCGATGAATGCGGGAATCTGGATTTAGACGAAACTGAAATGGTAAGTTTTATTAAATTATTTTTAAATTTCCTTCAACTTTTTTTTCCTAGTTTGAAAAAGAATTTCTCAAGGAATATGATGGAGCAATTGCCACAGAAAACAAAAAGAAACGATCCACACATATTTTTAATCTTAAGACAAATGTTAATAAAAAGCGTTGTTGTAAAGAGGAGATATTCTGTAATTATTTAAGCAGTGAACTGAGACGAATTCAACTTGAAGATACATTTGATGACCTTAAACTAGAAATTTTACGTTTAGTAAGACAAGCTATCAAAAATGAGAGCTTACGATGTATATGAAATTATTATTATTATTATTATAAGTTATTATAAATTATTATTATAAGTTATTAATAGTAGGGGTACTCATCGAAGCATATAAATTTATCAAATGTATAATTATTCACGTACACGGTTATATGAGCGCACTTAATGAAATATTTGTGTAAATTTATCAATCTGCTGTATAATAGCACTAATTTTATCAGCAATAACTATGACAGCACAAAATGCAATGTTCAGCAGAGCAATTTTTTAGCCAATATCGATGTAATTTTAAACATTTGTGCAAACTTTATTGGTCAGCTGTGTCCCTATCAATAAATTTTAAAATAAAATACCTAAGTTGAGCGAAAAGTTCAAATTAAAAAGTATTTACAAAGATATTTTTGTAAGTGATATGCTTATGTTGCATTCTGTAATTCTGTATTGACAACAAATAAATTTATACGATACAAATTTATTCGGTAAAATTTCCATGTAAATTTATCCATTTTGTGTAAACTATTATTCATTTGACACTTCAATTATCAAGCAGATAACTTTATACGTTTATAAGGTATTTACCAGATGAGTACCACTACTTTAAAGTTTTATAAGTTTGCATGCTAACGAAACATACTCTATGCTAATTAAATATACTCAATTAAATATACTCTGCTAACTAAATTTACTAGTTTTATTATTAATAAGTTCTGCAAAATTTGGTAGATGGACACAATCCTATTATAGTATTTCATTTAAAACTATTAAATAAAAATCAGTTATGACGAAAATAAGTAGTTTGACATAAATTCTGTTAAACTTTAACAATAATGTGTTATTGTGCGGTATTTGACTGTCCAGAGATACCTTACTATGTGATGTGCAAGTTAGTCTCGCGGTTAGACTTATTTTAAGTCAGATTAAACGCTCGGAAGATACAATGGAGATAACGATCATATGTGTATGTATTATAACACAATAAACTTAATGTTTCCCGATATCAGTTAAGACATAAACAGTGCTATGATATTGCTCTTAACCTTATATTTGAGCGCTTGCAAATGATATCATGTCAGTTTCGTTATCCGTTAAAATATAAATATCGCTTAACAATATTGTGTTACAATATTTGGCAGTATTTCAGTGCGGACTTGCTAAGTGCTTCTGATATGATTTCTAATATTATTATTTAGAATAAAACCTGACAGCGTTCGTTATAAGAAGAACAATAAATTTTTATTACCCGCCCATTACTTCAGATTAATAACTCAAACATATCACTGGAAAAATTAACCATAGCCATAGAGATATAAAATCAATACATAATTTTGGGTCAAAGTAAAGTCTTATACAAATAAGTCTATGTCAAAATTATCAAAGCGGGAAGCAACTACTGTTGGCAAGGAAATAAAAACTAATAGTGCGTTTGCACTATAACAATTTAATCGATAAATGTGCATTATGTAGTGTTCATTTACATATAAAATCCATACAAATATCATACCATATGGTACTAATGAGACTAGATAATTAAAATACAAACAGAATATAATTCTAATAATAATTATAAACAAATTTAACTGATTATGGGATGCATTTAATAAATGTGATATTATAAGTAATTGTGTTTGCTATACTTTGTGTATTATTATTAAAAATCTGGAAAGTTTTGCTCTTGATATAATAGGTCTGTTCCACGAGCTACTCATAGTAACTTTGAGTAAACACTGTGTATACACAAGCGCGTTCCACCAGCAAATTTTCAAGTATTTTTGTGTAAATTTTACTTCTGTTTTACTCATGTTATACTATGAGTAGCTCGTGGAACAGACCTAATATATCAATCATTTAATCATATGATTGTAATACTAAAACAAGTAGAAATGCTTTTTTAATATTTTTTGTTCTGTACATATGCATAATTATTTGTTGTACCACTTTTTTTAAACAAACAGATTGGTAAAAATGTATTCGTTGGCACTGAACTCTAGAAATATACTAATGGGTGATCACCTATATAAATAGCACTTAAAAATAAAAAAAAATTGAAACTTTTATTAAATGATCTAATTCTATAAAATATTTGTGATAGTTTGAATTGAGCATTGAATTACCGTTTATATGAATCTTGGCAACACTGTCGACTTATATCAAAAAATATACTTTGACATTTCACTTTCATTTAATATTCGTAAACAATTAATGATATCCCTGCTGAAAATATATAAATTGTACAAATAATTTTAAAATTTTTGAAACCAAATTCTTAATTCAGTATTAAAACGATAAATATATAAGCCGTGTGCTTACATATGTATTATTTTATTATTTATTTACTATTTATTTAATATTTTTGGTTAAAAATTTGCAAATTTATTTATTAAACATCTTATATAACTTTCACAATGGTAACACCTAATTTTTATCTAATTTACTCTACTCGCAATTCTGGTAAATACCAACATTCGCTATCATACCGACATAATTTACTATATCCTTCAATTTACCATCAATTTACTCGAACTCGCACTTCGCTATATAAATTACTTTAACAAGAATATTTGGTAAATTTTGTTATGACAATTAATTAATAGAGCTGTCTAAAAATCACTTAGGAGCGTGGTATGATTAGAGTCGCAGTCATTAATTGTAGTTGCTTTCAATATAAGATGAAATGAGCTGTCAGTGTCAAATTATCAATTGACATTGAAAACAACAACAGTTGCGTGATTATGGCTGCAATCATTATTTTTTTCCTTACCACTTATAATATGTAAACGAAATGATATTAGTACGTATATAAAAAATTTATGTTTTTTGAAAAAGTATGAAAGACTTGGCAACCCTTTTCTTACGCCGGTGTATAAACACTCAGTTCGTTTATACGAATATTGGATGCGAAAATTGCGAAAGGCGTCTTGTTGTTAAACAGCTAAATAAGCTTGAAATCAAAACATTACAATGGAAGAACTGGAAAATTCATTTGTAAAATATTAAATTTATTTTAATAAGTTGCGATAAAATTAAAATAAACTTTGTTTTTCCAGGCAACCAACGCTTGGTCAAGGGCAGAGACAATAGCGCTAATTCAAGAATTTCGTAAACATCCGTGTTTGTACGATCCTTCACATCCAGAAAATACGAATTTAATAAAAAGAAAACATTCCTATATTTCAATTTTTAATAAATTAAGCGCAGTAAAGACCGGTCTAAGTATAAATAAAATAAAAGCGAAACTAAAAATTTTGCATACTCAATTGAAGAAAGAAGTGAAATTAGCCTCTCTTTGTCAAAAGGATCATGGAAATTACAGGCCGACCTTGTGGTGTTACAAGGAAATTTCCTTTCTGCGTGATTTTATCAAATATCAGCCAAAAGAAGAATATTTGGAGAATGTAGAAGTAATACAAATATAATTAAATGTTTTAATTTCACTAAAAATTTCTTATATCAAAATTTATTACACACTATAGGATAACACTATGTCGTTGGAAGATAATGATAGCAAGAATTTCCCATTGTTAACTATGGTAATTTTAAATGAATTCGATATTATTTTAATTGAGTATTTATTTATTAATTTTTACAGCAGTCTTCAATAGATTCACATATAACTGAAAGTTTAGATGAAATGAGCGAAGATGATGAAGGAGACTCTGTAAATACTTGCAGCGTTGTAGACAATGTTCAACAAAATCATGTCCTTTCTCGTCTAAATGTAGTGGATTCATTTTGTAAATATTTATGTACTGAACTGCAAAGAGTGCACGAGGAGCAAACGTTGGACGATCTCAAATTACAGATTTTGATTCTAGTTAGAAATGCCATTAAAAAGGAAAAAAACGTGTTACAAAATGGAAATCATTAATTAATTTTCTATATAGGATTACAATTTCATTTGTATTTTTTTTTTGTTTACTTTGTTTTCATTATAGAAACACGAAACGCATTTGTAAAAATAAAAGACTATATTCCAAAAATATTATACAGCAATAAGCTAACAAACTAAGTAAGTTACATTAATAGGATTAATTCAATTATCTGATTGCAGCCCTTCAATTGACTGATAGCAATAATACAAATGAAAATAAAAAAATCAGAAATGCACATTTATTTAAGCGTAAGCAAATTGTTATGTATATTTGTATACATATATAATATATAAAGTACTATATTTGTATTTGTATACATATATAATATATAAAGTACTATTAAACTTAAATACAATAACGTTTACAATTAAGTTACAAGTGAATAAAGCTAAAGAAATTTGTAAAAAATTTAATATACTCATGTAATCCTCGATTAAGCCATATTATATTATAATCTCCGATTAAGCTATAATATTTTGAATTGTTAATTAAATAGAAACTTAAAATTAAAAAATTTTTACTTGTATTGTTTATAGTTATGTCCAAGTTTATATATATAACCTGTGGAATGTCAGTTAATTGAACACAAATGTTTGTTTTTAGATATTTTTACCTATATGAGATAATAATTGTGGTATAATGCTAGTTTATACAATATCAAACTTAGCTATAATTTTATAAAAATGAATGCAATTTAGTGTGATTGTGATTAAAATTGCAGTTTGATGCAATTTATTAATAATATAATAATAGGTACATGTACTATATATAACAAGATATAATTTTATAAACTTTTTCATATATCTGTTATGATATTACGAGAGATGTATTAGTCCCATATTTCTTTCAAAAACACATATATGAAAAACACTGATAAATTAATGAATATAGAGAATCTAAAGCTCTAAAAGAAAATATCTAATTATAAAATATACTTAATTAAATAATAGTTTATAATTAATATATTAATAAGGGTATTTACTTATCCAAAAATGCACATAAAAAGGAAAAATAAAATTTAATAGACCAAAATTTAAAGTCCTAGTCATTATAATTCCTGATGCATTTTGTTAATACAAACAAGTTTCTAAGTTAAATTGTATAACTAAAAATAAATTATATAATATAAAAAGAATAAATATTTTTTATTAAATTTTGCGTTTATTTTTATTAAATAAAAATATTATAAATTGACATCAATTTAGTATTAACAGTATATAGTATTGAAATTTCTTAACCGTGTAATAAGGCTGGGCTCTAGTTTTCAGTTTTCATACAATACATTAAAGATTCTTTTAAACGGACCTGAATTTTGACTAGAGATAATTTCTGGTTCCATCGGTTACTGCTTCAGAGAGTTCTTATTCAAAATTTTATAGACTAATAATATTTTGAACAACTTTATTTTAAATAAAATTAAGGCGGCGCCGCGCATTTGCCGGACAGAAGCAAAGCAGTTTGGAGGTACTGCGGTAGATATGGTTGAAAGGGAGATTTGGTCTCCTAGCATGGCTACCTAGAATACAATGATCTGTAAATAAACCTACTGCAAGACTAATATCTCTACGGGGCATCTCAATGAGAGATTGCCTATGATTTCTTTTTATTGCCTGTATATCGTTAAGTCTTCCCATCTTTTATTAAAAAGTTCAGCAAAGGAAGAACTCAGTCCCGGTTTACATGATGTCAAGGTTATGCACAGATTATTTATGTGTTCCGAGTGGTTTCCTGAACAGCTGTGTAGCTCATCTATCGTCATAAAATCAAGAAAGTTTTTTTATACTACTATCGAAAATATCTGAGTTTGCATGATGTCACGTTATGCTCAGATTATTTATGTGTTCCGAGTGGTCTGTGTAGCTCGTTTGTCGACATAAAATCAAGAAAGTTTTTTATACTACTATGGAAAATATCTGGGAGCTGTTAATTTAAAATCAAAAGTTATAATCTTTTGATAAAGAAAAGTATTTTTTTATCAACACACTAGATGTATATATTCATCTATTACAAAATGATTATTTTATACCTTTTAAGTGAAACACATAAAATTATATTATGTGGTTATGGCAAAGGACCTAGCAGTCCAGTTCCTTATTCTTAGTTTACTTAATAATTAATTTTAAATGTTAACTCACAAGTAAATAAATAAAATAAAATAAAATATATTATGTGAATGCTACTGTATGATAATAAAAATAAATTCCAAAATCTCGAAAAGTTTATCATTTTTCTAAAATTAAAATGAACAGTAATTAACGCATCGCATAATTAACTATAATATCTTGTGATAAAAAACGTCATCGAAATTATTAAATGATCAGTTTATTTTTTTAATAATTTATATTGTCATAATAAATTTTCGAAGCGCATTCCACACGGCCCACTCATTGGAAAATATCATCGCATAGTACAGATGTTTACACTACAGGCTCATGACATATTTTCACCGATTTAAACATAAATAATAAAATTCGTTTCTTAAATGATAAAGAATATGACATTAATATTTTAATATGCCAAAAATAAAATTTACTAATAATTTGAGAAAAACAAAAATATGAACGAAATATTAATAAACGATGGCCTCTGTCATTTATAAAGAAAAAATATTATTGAATTATTTTGTGATACGCATATATATAAATAGGACTCTACGCAATTTTATTTGATTATATTTAAAATTCTACTATATATGTATATGTATATTTATAGGTCTTTTCAATTTTTATTTCAAACCGGCCGGCTGTTCCATCGACTTGGCCGTGACCATGGTTTGTTAAGGAAAGTACGAATGGAGTAATGTTAGATAATTTTTATTTTCTTCTAAAAGGAAATGTTTAAAAGAATATATAGTTTTATTAATAGAGTATTTTATAGTGCACATTCTTTGGTTCCATATATCGACCATAGATTTGCTAATATAGTCAAACTTCCATAACTCGAACTTCTAATAACTCGAATTTTCTGCAATTCAAACTAAAAACGGTTTTAGAGAGCAAACTACATACATTTCGGCTTCCATAACTCGAACTTCTGTAACTCGAGTTTTTTTATATCTCGAATAAAAATATGCTAATAGGAATAAGGGAAAGTGCATTCTATAAGTCAAATTTTTGTTTTAAGTATGAATCCGTTTTGGTGTTAGGGAAAGACCCTTTCTCCAAAAAAATGTTTAATTTTCTTTTTTATGTTGGCAGCGTGGTTTAAAGTAAATAAAATATCTTCCAATGCTACTCTTAATCATTATATTATATTGAGCTTGATAATGAAGTTTGTACATCAAGCTTTTCTACAGAGGATGATATTATTGAGCACTATAGCTCTGAATAAGTGGATCCGTATTTAAGCGCAACCGAAAATGATGATGAGGGTTCGGTGGATAAAATTGTTCATTAGCCTACCAAGAATGAAGTAGAAGACTCATTTAAATTTCTAAATTTTTATTTACAAACGAAGGATACTTCAACTGATGATCATTATAATCGTGGAATAAATTGGAATCTTTTTTACTGAAAATTAGAGCAAAAAATTAAAATCCCAATCCTAATAAATAACTTATATTTTAATTCTAGTTTCCTTCAAAAATTAAAAAAAAAATAAAAAATTCTCTAACTCGAAGTCCCCATAAATCGAACCTTTTCTTTGCAAAATGGTATTTCGAGTTATGGAGGTTTGGCTGAATTTTATTTAATAAAATTTTTAATTATTTAATATCACAGTTCAGCACAAATATTTTAATAAGTTGTAAAAGTAAAGACGTAAAATATATTTTTCATATATTTCATATATATTTTCCCTGATTATGTTAATTATCATGGATTTCTAGAGGTAGCCCTGTATTTTCCAAGCGATAATTAAATATATTATTAATTATTGCTTTTATAAATAGTACACATTTAATTATAATTGAAAATATATAATTTACAATAAATTTTTAATAATAAAATAAATATTCAGTTCTTATTTTTTTTTATTTATAATCAAATCAAATCAAACAAAATAATTAAAACTTTTTATAACTACAAATTCTGGATTAATATTAATATTTAATTTTACTATAAATGTTTACATTGAAATTATGGCAATTTATTATTTTTTTAATCAATCCGAGGAAACCAAATTAATCTGGCGCCTGTTTTATGTTCATAATTAAAAACAATTTATTTGCGTTTAACAAAACGTTTTGCTTCATTATCCATGCAATTGTCGGATAAGAGATTTACTTAAGTGGGCTGACTAAATGTTTAGGAATACCGCAGAACTCATAAAATGACTCTCTTTCATATGAAATGCGTCTAATTGAAACACTTTAGTTATCACTGAAGAAAAGCTAACATTGGAAGAATGGTTTGATAAAAGTCACATCAGTTCTATAAGCTTTAGACTTGAATCATTTTACTCAATAAAAGATTTATGATTTGAAAATTTAGATTATATTTCAGGTCTCGTTGCTTACAGTATAAATAAATTGTCGTTTCTTTAATAGACAACATAGGATTGTGATCATAGTAAACTTCTTTAATGGAAAATATTGAGTTGTCGCATGGCCATGTATACTAGAACTATTATTATTATTGATATGGTATGTGGCACTGCGACAGTCGAGTCTAATGTGTCCCCTTCTGGGTTTAGAGTAACTCTCTAAGCCTAGTTGCGTCGATAAAAAGTAGTATAGATCCTACTTTACACAGTTTTGTTGCCTCTTCCGTAATAGTCGATATTCCCAGGAGTTTATTTTGCATGTGGATTAGCACGGTATTCTAATAGCACATGTGTAGCTGACTCTTTATTCTCTTCGCAAAATCTATAGTTTACAATCCTATTTACTACGGTATTATATGGTTGTAGGACTAAATGGTATGGTACTAGCACATCCCACTGTGCTAAGCTCTAAAAACACGCTTAAAAAAAGTTTTTAAAATGATTTCAACAATTTTTAAGCCCATAGAAATGGCTACTATGTGATTTATCTACACAGTGATTTATCTATATCTGGTATCGTTAGGA